AATCTCGTATGTACCAAAAACTAAAACTTTAATTTATAATATACAAGACCAACCTGAATTTACTTGATTCGGCTTGCAAGCAAATACTATGGAAACGGTTCACTACTGAATTTCTTTGTAGTTATATGTTTAATTTTATAAGGAACTGTACATCCATGCGTCAATTTTGTTTTGAAATAATGTTGGAATAATAAGTGACAATTACAGCAGCAATATACTCACGTATAGCATATAAATATCATGTAAAGTACCTTCCAAACAATCAATTGAGCCAACTCGATAGGAATTACATGCAACGGATTATAAGAATTCATTTCAATCATTCATTATTAGGAAGGTATTCACTTTTAAATTCATGGTTTAGTATGATACAGTATTACCAAGTCTCGCGCAAAAACATCATAAAGAACTTAAGAACGACGTTAATACCTTTTAACAAAATATATCACCAGTGGTAATTATAGGTAGGTAGAAATTATGATAAAATTGTTCATCAACCTTAGAAAAACTGGGAAGAAGAGGAAAGCTCATCGTATCTACCAAATAAAAAATGTCGAAAAAACAATATGAATGATAAAAAATAATGTTTTAAACAAAAATTGTATGATACCAAGGGGAACATATCAAAATTTCATTTATTTAATTGAATAAACGTTTCTTTTTTTGGCATCTTCAAACCTGTGGATTTTACGAGAGAGACTCCTCCATTCCCTTCGTTGTTCCAGGGTTAATATTTATGTTCATTATAGTTGTCATCTTAAAAGTCGTTTAGATTTTAATTACTGTCATTTTAATTATCTATTACAATTATTGCACTAAGTCATAAACTAAAATGATATAGTTAAGTTATTTAAATATATTGTCCTTACATTTTCCTTTCCCCAATTCTTTTACATTGTACTTATCATAAGGTAAATGAGTGTTTGTACAAATTCTTTTAATTCCATTTAGATAATTCTTTTCTATAGAAGAAATAGAATTATGACAGAGAAATTATAAAGCGAGAGAAAAACATATATACATAGAACTCTGCTGAACAGGTAAAAGAGTGTAAGATGAATTTTGATCAAAATGATCTACAGTGGCTCTTATTAATATTTGAACACTTTTCAAAATGCAATAACTTTTTTAGAACTGGGCTAAACGACTTAAATTTTATTTAGATGATAGAGCGACCAATCTACTAGACCATAACTAGAATGCTTATTTTAAATTTTACTATTGCTTAGAATGACAAAAGAAACTACAAAACTCTCATTTTTTTAACTTTTTTTGAACCTGAACCTATAACAAAATTTAAAAAATGTATTTTGTAGATCTTTTACAATCCTTTAACGCTTGTAACTTGATTTTACGTTAACCAATTTTGATGAAATTTTCAGCATGTATATAACTTACCAAGATCTACAAAACACATTTTTTAAATTTTCGTTATAAGCTCAGATGAAAAAGTTGAAAAACGAGAGTCTTTTATTTTGTTTTATCATTCCAAGCAATAGCAAAACTGTAACAAAGTAGTTTAGTCATTGTCTAGTATACTAGTCCCTCTATCATCTAAAAGCTATTTTATTTTAAAAAGTGTCCAAACATTAAAGGGAGTCACTGTAACTCAATGTTTTCCAAAACTGAGGCGTGTTTCTAAATCTGATAGAACATACATTTTATAAGTCTAAAAAGATGAAACATATTACAATACACTTTTTTGTATTTTTGCACAACTAATATATAATTCTGACTTCTTCTCTCTTTTAACCCTCCCATCAGAGAAATACACACACGCGCGCGCGCCCCGCACGATACGCACGCACGTACGAAAACACACACTCACACATACACGCACATACACATACAGTGTCCTAAAATTATGTTACATACTTCTGGGAAAAAAGGGGTTCCTGACGTCATTTGAAGTAACTTTTTCCTTAGTGAAAATACAATCCGCAGCTTTGTTTACAAGTTATTTACGAAAAACAATAACCAATGAGAGGCGACCTCGGCTGACGCGAGGCGGCCCGGTCAATGAGTGCACGAAGCCCAATTCGGCTCATTGGCTCGCCTTTCATTGGTCAGTGCTTTTCGTTAATAACTCGTAAACGAAGCTGCGGATTGCATTTTCACTAGGGAAAAAGTTACTTAGAATAATCTCAGGAACCTCTCATTTCCCTGGAGGAACATAATTTTGGGATACCCGGTATATATGTATATATATATACATATAAAAGAAATTAAATTCTTTATCACTCTATAGAGGAGAAAAACAGTTAAGCAAATTGCTGTCAAACTTATTGATACCAATCTTACATGGCACAATAATTAAAGTTACTGTACTATGTATGATACAAACTGCATTGAATATTACACGTACTCGTACATACACTCTCGTATCTTTTTCGTTGCATCACATTTGCGTATACAGGATATTTCACCTAACTTGACCACCTTAAATGTATCGGTTACTTTGTATGATAGAAAAAATGTCACGAAGAGAAAAATATTCTGTTAAAAGGCGCCAATATGGTGATGGACCAAATTTGTTTCTCATCAAAGAAATATTGGTTATTCTGTAACTAATTTAATGCTCGGTTACTGAAGACATATTGTTTTTCAAAATCGTTATCATCATAGTACTTGATGTAACGAAACGCAGTATGAATGTAGAATTGATGAAAAAATGTATCCAGGTTCATGGTGCACATTTTGAACACTTTCTAAAATAGAGATTTGACTTAAGACTGTTCCAATGAAATTGAAATTCCTTCATTTACTAAAAAATACGATGACTTTAAAATCTCGAAAAAAATTTGGCCCACCACCGTATTGGCGCCTTTAAACAGAATATTTTTCTCCTCATGACATTTTTTCTATCATACAAAATAAGCGATATATTTAAGGTGGTCATGTTAGGTGAAATACCCTGTATTATGCATCGTTTCTTAAGAACACCAAATCTCGATTGTATTTTTTAAAAAATTACATTGCCCATGTACAAACAGGGATATATTCCTTTCTTTGGTCGTCTAAATAGACTTTGGTTATTCCATCCATTATTATTAAAAAAAACTATTAATTCATTACGTTATAAGTTAATAATTTTCGGAAAGTAGTTTTTTTATGTAAGAAAACGAAACACAGTAGAAAAACAAATTACTGCAGCATAAAAAATTGTTTTGATTATGAAATAATCAGTAACATCTTGTCCTCAACGTTTCCATTAATGACTAACAATGTTTAAAATATCAAGTACTGTGGATGTGTAAGTATTTATGAAAATAATTTTACAGCAATTCCATCTCTATTAGTCATCTGCGTGATTCAGATGCATATGCTGTTATAGTGTTATCTACACATCCAGCTGCTAGAACTACACGGTACGGGTGAAAGTTTAAACAACTTACTGGACTAATACGTGTAGCCATAAATCCTTCATGGAATTTTATCGTATTTAAGTGTTGACCTATTGTGTTATATACACTTATACAGTGATTTGTCGACCCACTGAAATAAATATACTTATTGTTACACATCAAGCTTTTTAACTCAGATGTATGAATAGATTTTGTTATTATATTTAATACCAAAGATGAATTTTGCTGGTTCGCCCTGACTTAATGAAACTCGTCATACAACATAATGCACACCGAGTTTTAAGAGAATGCTGAGAACCCTTTCCAGCATTAGAGGGAGATTCAACTTCCAGAAAACGAATGTTAGCTGCAAAATAAGACTTCCCTCGAATTTTCCTTATCGCGCTCAGTTTTTATAATGCTTTTTGTGACAGAGTCACTCTTTTCAACTTATCCATAAATTCAAAAATGGAACTTTATCAATTACGACATACATAAATGCTTTATTATGCAGCAGCTTCTTGTATGATAAAATGAAAACTTGAATCGTAAAAATTGAATAATTAGAAGATAAAAAGCATACATATTATTCAATTTTAAATATTTTCTTAAGAATCAATTGGCGGCACTTGTTAGTTTTATTGAATATTCAAAACCGTCACATTAAAATGTCTTATAATTTTTAATCGATCTATAGACACTAAAAAATTAAACACTAAAAATGCCTTTGATGTCTATATTGTGTGTCAAACAAATTGATATACATAGTGTATACAGTTACAGTTTTAAATTTGTTATAGCTTTTATATGAATTAACTGTTTAGAAGTTATAACAATTACGTAATACAAATATTAAAAGTTTAAAATTTCAGTGAGGATGAGATATGTGTCAAATGACAAATTTTCCGAAATTTATAGAATTATTTCAGTAAGTAAATAAATAAATGTATATAATATAGTTTATCCTTATTTATACTCATATATCGTTAAGATCTTTTTTGTATGTATATATGTGTGTGCGTTCAGTGTATACATTTATAGACTTTTTCGATTTATAGATATATACATGTTATATATTAAATTGTTGTTGAGTACAGTGAATGAGTATATTAAATGCAGCATTTATATGTATATGACATTTGTTCCTAGTTGATAATATTCCATTTTTTTAATTTGCGAGCCTCGGCGAACCAGCGAAACCCGAGCGCTAGGAATCTCTCTACTCATCTCTGTTAATACTAAAGCTATTTTAAAATTAATTTCGATGTTAAGAAGCCTAAAAGTACTACTAAGATTTTGTGTACCTTCCTTACATCTATAAATTAATCATATATTTTGCCTCAACTTTTATGACATAAAATTTTTGAATATTTTTCAATTTTAATGTACTATTGTAAATAACTTTGTACACTGATATACATAAAACATAAAATTAACATTTTGACTTTTCAGAAATTAACGTTAGAATTGATTATCGACCATAGCTTTTTACATTCAAACATTAAAATACTCAGACCGTGAAATAACAGAAATTATCAGTTCTTTAGTAAAAAATTTTAAATGCATGTTGGTCGATACTAAGAACAAAAAAAACAATTTCGGCATAATATTTTACATAACACCTAAATCAATTTTAAGTAAGGAATGAAAAAATGTTAAACACGTCTTTGGAGATCTTAAAGAATAGGTACAGATAAGATTTAATCTTACCATGCAAAAACATCAGCTACTTCGTGCGCTGCCAATGCTGTAATACCTTGCGTTATCTGTACAGTGCTTACAGAGGAATTTTTTCTAAGGTCAAATATTCGAATATCTCCTGATGATGATCCAGTAAACAATTGAGGTGCCGATCTATCAGATTTTCTTAAAGACGTCCCCAATACCCACGCTGTGTGTTCTCTCCAAATCATAACTCTCGATTCTAATGGAGGCAATCTTCTGTCGAATAAGCGAACGGAACCATCACCACAACCAACGGTCATCATTGAACCTACACATTTGGTCAACAATCAATTAATTCATCGATTAATTAATTTCTTCATAAAATTTCATCAATTTCAGCAAAAGGACCATAAAATAAATAAAATAATTTAAATCGATTCTTCTATTCATAAAACGAATATTTATAGAATAATATGTTGTCCTTATATTTACATAATATATACAGGGTATCCCCCCTCCCCCTTGAAAGGTACGTACAAGTGGGCACCAGGAGACTCCTCATAAATATAAATATGAAAAAAAATATAGAATAACTTGTTTTTGTTTAGGAGTTAGTTTTCGAGAAAATTGAGTTTGAATATTCGCTTTCGTACGTACGCTTTTGCGACTATAGCCGTAAACTGCGTATCTACAAAACGAATTTTCAAACTCGATTTTCTCAAAAATTAAATCTCAAACAAAAAAACGTTATTCTATATTTTTTCATGTTTTTTTATTTTATAACTTTTGTAAGTGAAAATGATATTAAAATAAGTAATAATATATTCTCCTTCATTGAAAATCATTTTTATATTAAATATGTCAATTTTCTAATTAATTAAATTTTTATAAAGTAAATGTATGTATTTTATAAATGTAATTAAAAATATATGAATAACTAACCTACGCCATCAACATCAATGCAGGTAGCACAACAATCAGCACCTGTAGGTATATCTTGTTTTTTTAATTCACTCTCTGCGTCCCAGAGTCTAATAATACGAACATCACCCGTAACAGCTAAGGTAAGGGACTTCTGTTCCCATTTAGTAACCAAACCAGCTGTTGCTGCAAACAATTTTAATTAATACATCAAGTTATAAAAGGAACTCAAGATAGTAGTACTACAATGCATACACGCGATAAATACTTTTTTATAAATTTTTGAATATGGTCTCTTTTGACTGTATTACTCTATCGTTTGTTTATTAGACTACGTTAATCTGTCTGAAAGAATACATCTACGCACCGGTTGTTGTTTTTGTTACTGGTTGTATATCAGCAAGTGCTTGCCAGGCGGTAAGTAAAATCGGTTCACGGTTTAGCGTGTTACTATAATGTTTCCAAACTCTAACTGAGCCATCATCGGATCCAGCCATTAGTAAACTGACATCGTGAGCGTTGATAAATTCGAGAGCTGTAATACGCGATGCCTTATTTCCTCGACTCGCACAATAAGTTAATAACTTTGGACCAGATTGATAATCCCATACTCTATAAGTGAATAATAATTTTGATAAGGTTTGTTTCCTACAGAAACAATACAATTTGAAATCGTCAGAATAAGTACCCAAAGAAATCTTTCAATGCCACTGCCAAATGAGGTTCAAAGGGATGAAATGTTAAGACATCTGGAGAAACAGAACATCTTGCGTGAAATATTTGTGACTCCACCCTACTTTGTACTGCTCGTACTTGTTCTTCTCTTGTCTCAGATCTGTGCCTTTTATTTCTTAAATACCTGGATGTTTCAAGTTACGATAGCTTTCATCAAACTATAATACGAAACTTTTATACAACATTCTTGAATACATATTATTAGATATACCTCCATTCCCTCTCATAATGAGATTTGCTTTCCATATCATTCATCGACTCAGTCTCACTCTCTACACTAACAGGTTGAGCAAATTGAGCGCAACTCCACTCAACAAATTGCGAAGTTGTCAATGGTGTCTTGATTTCAGGAAACTCGTCAGCTTCTTCCAATATCTATTATAAAATAACATTAAAAATGTAAAATTGTAAATATAAGCATGTTATAATAATTTCAATTAATCAAGTTTTTATTCCTACCATATTAGGAATTGTTTTTTTCGATCGAGGAACATGCGATGATACCCTTGAATTTACTGTAGGTGGCGACTCCCCTTTGCTATTGCTTAATTTAATAAAAATAAATGTATGAAAATATTAAGAATAGTGCAAAATTAATTCATCAACTTACCTTAAGTAGGTTGTACGATTAGATGGAGATGGTGGAAGAGACATTGACGAAGATGTTTTCGTCTCAATCCCTTCTTTAGGTGTAGATGATTCTTTCACCTACAGTTAAAAATGATACATTATACATATAAAGAGGTTTTTTAATGAAAAATAATGTTACTATAATGGTACATATTAGTGTATTATTTTTACCTGATTTCGAATATGATTAGTTACTTTTTGAGACATTGAGGCAACTGCAGGATGGGGATCATTATCGAGGTTACATAGCCCATGCCATAATTTCATATATACACTACCATAGGAAAGACTTGGTAAATTTCCAAGTGAACTGTGTCCTAAAACCAACAAATAATAATACATTATATTTATTATTAAGAGCACTAAATATATCTGAGCTTTGCGATAATGTGCTTCTAAATAATAAAATTATGAAATTAATATTAGCTAAAAATATAAAGTTACAAAATTTAAAATGAAGGATGAACTATGTACGAACATGCAATGGAATTTCCAATCATTATTACCAAGTGACTCGCAAGGTTTCCTCACGAACTCCCAATTATTTCCTGGCACATGAATGAAACAATATAAGGAATTGTTATCTAAAATCCGACAATAGACAGCTAGTATCTAGCGGAGTGTTATAGCTCTGTTACTTACCTAAACTACTTATAGACGATGAGGAAGATACTCTCTTAATACGATCTTGTCCAAATCCATCCGTACTGTCTACACTGTACATATTATTAGGAGAAAGCATTTTTAATCTATCTCTGGAACTAATGCGTCTCATTCCACTAAATGGTGAAAATGTTTCCACTACAAGGTCTTTGCGACTGTTTTCTTCAGCCAAAGCTAAAGTTACAAAGGAATTTTCAAAGTGTAAAACCATCCATTGAAGCGCTACTACTAATTCCTGTAAAGAGATTAATATTTCCATTGCATTAGAATAATTGAATTAAACACTGTAATTAAAATCTATTAACAAACTTACATACTTTTCTAACTAAGGGGCACATATCATGAGATACAGTATTAATCAGCGTTATAGCAATGATTTGATCGATATTATTTGCATGTTCACTTCGTGTTGTAACACTATTTATGAATGTACCCAAAGCGTAAACACTAGCTGCTCGAACCTATATAATTTTATTGTACATTAGTATCGTTTATATGGAATAGCAATAAATTGAGAAATTAAAGTAGAATGGTTTTCATACCTCAGGAACTGAATCTCTTAGTAATGTAAATAGTTTCTCGTGTGCGATATCTCGAACGCCACACCACCTTGCTTTGTCATAATTATGCCAAAGCCTAGCTAGACATAAACACAGCCATTGACGTAATAAGGAGTTTGTATCCCCAAGTTGTTCCAAACAAATCGAAACGAGGCTACCATGATTAGCAGCTACTTGACCTTGTCGATAATCATTTACAATACTAGCCAAAACAAATGCTGCTAATGTTCTGTATTCGCTCTGAAATAGAAAGAAACAAAGTAATATATAAATCTTGAACTTTCAAAACCGTTTTGTTGAATAAAATGAAATACGATAATACCGGAACAGAAGTATCTTGAAGGACAGATAAAAAATATTTGTGCCCTCCATCGCGTACAAGATCTGCTTGACAAGTCTAAAAATGTATAAATTGCATTAATTAATTAGAATTGGTATAAAATAATATTATGATTACTTTTAAGTACCTATTGAAACTTACACTGTCAACTGCAAGAATTTTTGCCCAAATAAAAACAAGCAATGGACGTAATTCTCTAGCATTGCTCTGAAGTAATTTTAAAACATATGGAAAAATGCCTACACTAAGAGCCAAATTTACTGCCCATGGACCAAGATCAAGAAAACGTCCCAATAATTCTAATGCTCTTAGTCTATGAACTTGACTTAACAAGACTTGAAGTACTATTGGCAGTTGTTCTGGAGGGTTGCGACTTTTTGAACCTAGAGTAAGCCATACTTGGAAGGCTGTCAATTGCTCTTCGAAAAATGGGGAATGCACAAACTGATCTTCATTTTCTAGTATAGATGGTAATTGTGCTAAACAGAGATCAAGTGCTAAATCCCATGCTTGCCACATAGGATGCTATATACATAAAAAAACACGAATTAATAATGCAGTAATAGTAAAAAATACTTCAAAATTTGTAATTTATTTGCAACAACATTTACCTGATAAGTAGGTGGTAATTTTGGACAAGAAACTGGTGTACAATCATATGATCGAAGTATTCTTTCAGCAAGTAAGAAGTTTCTAAACAAACTAGCAACTAATAAATCTTGTCTGAATAATCTCTGGAATAAATCTGAAATTAAATATGTTTATTGTATAGCATCTCTTTCATTACATGTTTCATTGTATGAAAACAATGAATGTATGTTACCTCTTGGCAAAGTGTTCCATGCTATTGTATCAGTAATTGCTGTAAATATCCAATTAAGTTCTCCTAACATTGTTCTTCTATCAGTCAACTGCCCTGGAATTCTGAAATTTATTTTACATAATTTGCTTAATGCATCTTTTTTAAGAAAATATTTTATATAAACTGATGTATACTATAACCGAAATTAGGAGTTGCTTAACTTAAATTATTAATAATTTGAAATATCTACATGCAGTTGAATATCCTGCAATCTTAGTCAGAATGTAACAAAGCTTATCGATCATTCATTTATCTGCATTACACTTTAGAATCACTACAAATTATATTATTACAAATATGTAAAATATTCTTACTTGTCAATTAAATCTAATGATATTTTTGGTACCAATTTCGACGTATTTTGCATTACAAACCTGTATAAACATGAAAGAGAAATTCAGCTTTTTATACAAGTTGAACTATTTTCAATATCTTTTCATTTTTCGGACTCACCATCGTAATGCTATCTTTATTGGAGTTGTAAGGCATGAGGTAAATATATCAGCAGGTAAATCTGGATTCATAGGTAAAATTTGATTAGCTGCACATGCTGCTAACTGAATACAATTTTTGTAAGATGGTACTGTTGCATTTCCATATGTAGTGACCCCAGTTGTACGATTCTGCTGTAGTGCTTGTCTTTCCATCTATGAATCAACATTTCTAATATATTTGCAAATAAGCTCTACCTTCACATTAAGTGTATAAAAGATTTTTACCTCATATTCCTTCTCATGTTGTTCTGCAAACTGTTGAAAAGATTCTACAATAATACCTGCATTTGAACAATCATATACATAGATACTAGGAGCTCCCATCCATGTCTGCAAGTCGTATACAGACAAAGGAATGTATTGTGTATATGTCTGTAAAAGTATTCCAGAGTTAAAAAAGCTTTAATTAAATTATTACTTTTTGAACCAATATAAAATAACTGTTCTAACTATTTACATTTGTATTATTACCATTGGATTTTTATGATATATTGGAAACTGCCATTAATATTAATTTTTAAAATATTTTATTTTAAATTTAGCATTTAAATACTTTCTATATTGTATATAAGATTTGTCAATTTCAAACTCTTTACAAGTAAAACAAAAGCAATATATGTATGATTTCATTGACGTGAACAGAATTATTAAATATTTTTAAAGAAATTAATACTAACCCTATTAAATACCCATATTTCACCATTACTAGTAGGTTTAGGAACACCATGACCGTTATAATGAAACAATACTCTTTCCTCTTTCGCATTTCTCCTCAAAGAAGTGCACAACTTTTTAACTTCCTCAACAGTGGGATCTAAACTTTGTTTGTAACGAGCTCTTGGTTGCCATCGTTCATACTGTTTCTGTAAATTAGAACCTACAGTTTCCAAAGCTTTCTGTTGACTCATTGATAAAGGATCTGTGAAAATAAAGGAATATAAC